AGTCTGATCCTGAGGAGTCAGGGTCTCCTTCCTCAGACCTGAAACGTGCTTCCACCTGCAGCACCAGGACAAATATGGGGGCAGGACAGCTGTGCCCATCATCAGTGCTGTAAATGCTGAGCTCCTTGAGGACAGGGACTCGTCTTTTGCCTCTTTTTGTTTCCTCATGCTTAGCACAGTGCTTGGCTCATCGTAGGCATTTAATAAATGTTGATTGATTGACTACATTTTGCTGACTATCTCTTGCATACTACTCCTTTTTGTTAGCTGTTAAGTGGCCTTTGAGAGTCTCATTCTTTTCCAATCACAAATCTGAACCACAAGGCTAGATCGGACCAGAACCAAGAGGGGTATCTTTGCAGTTAGGGAACCTGTCCTGTTACCCAGAGCTTGGCAGGAGGTGCTGGGTCACACTCACCTTGGCATCGAAGGCATGTTTGAAGATTTCACATAAGGTTTTTGCATAGGCCTGGGATTTGCCTGTCTCAGTGGCATAGAGGATGGTGGCTTTGACTCTTTTTGCCATGGCCTGCCCCATCAGTTTAGCTGAGAACTTGACAGCTCTGGGAGAAGAGAGGGGGGAAGAAGATTAGGTTAAGAGCACTTTCAGCCAATGGTCTTTGGGTCATGAAATTGAACATGGCCATTGTGTCCCATTTCACGTGTCTAAATCTTGTCTTCCGGTGGAATGTAAGCTCCCAGTGGGCAGGAAAGCTTCCATATCTGTCTCGTATCATTGGTGCCTGGCACAGTAACTGGCATAGAGTAGACACCTAAATATATTTTTGAATTAATTTGTCTTCAAAGCTTTGTTATAAGCTTGAAGGCAGGTACGTTGGCAGTTTGGTGGTGAAGTGGATAGAGTGCTTAGCCTGAAGTCGAGAAGACTTGAGCTCAAATCCAGGCTCAGCTGTAGGTCATTTAACCTCTGTCTGCCTCAATTTCCTCAACTGTAAAATGAAGATAATAATAGCACCTACCTGGCAGGGTTGTTGTGAGGCTCAAATGAAATAATGTTGGTAAAGCACTTAGCCTAGTAGGGGCTATATAAATGCTTATTCCCTCAGCATTCTCTAGTATCCTCTACTTTGCTTATCAGAGGGCAAGTATACAATAGTTGCTCAACAAATAGTTGTGTATGGGTAATACGATACAAGAAGGATTGTCATAGGAGAAAAAAAGAGATTCCCCACAGCTGATTAATAGATACTAGCTTTGGGTCCCTTAACTATCTAATAAAATTTACGGAATCATAGATTTAGCACTAGAATGGACCTTCAGGGCATTGGAGTCCAACCTTCATTTTACAAATAGTAATATGGAGGCCCCAGAAAAGTGACAATGATGTGCTAAGATTGCCAAGATGACTTGGCCAAGGTTACTTACTGAGATAGTGTCTTTTTTTTTTCTTTTTTAGGCAATTGGGGTTAAGTGACTTGCCCAGGGTCACACAGCTGGTAAGTGTCAAGTGTTTAGTCTGAGGCCAGATTTGAACTCAGGTCTTCCTGACTTCAGGGCTGGTGCTCTATCCACTGAGCCATCTAGCTGCCCCTGAGATAGTGTCTGAATGAGATTTGGACCCACATCTTTTGGACACCAAGTCCACAATTCAATTTAATTCTAGAATTGCTTCAATGAAATCCAACAAGCATTCATTATGTACATTCATCATGCCAGGCACTGAGACGCAAAGTTGAAAATGAAAGAATTCTTGCCTTCAGGAAGCTTACCTTCTTGTGGAGCACTGCCTCTGAAGGGAAATCACTATGGAACCACACTTACTAATCACCAATTATGTTCGAGGCATTATGGGACCACCTTTAGGCCAGACACTGATAAGCTGAGCGCCAAGGAGGACATCCGAGATGGTGAAGGGCTTCCAAGTTGTGCTAGATGAGGATTGGCTGGAGACACTGGGGATGGTTAGCCTGGAGAGAAGACTATGGGGGGTATTTGATAGCTGTCTTCAGGTATTTGAAGGGATGGCATGTGGTGGAGGGATTAGTCTTACAATGGGGAGAATTACAGAGAGATAGATTTAGGCTTGATGTCAGGAACTGCTTCCTACCAATGAGAGCTGTCCAAATGAATCATGAACTGGACATGGAAAGAATGATTTCCCTTTTACTGAAGGTCTTTCAGTATTTCTGAATGACCCCTCATTTGGGATGTTAGAGACAGGATTTTTGTTGAGATATGGGTTGGAGCAGAAAGCTTCTAAGGGCTTCTCCAGCTCTGGGATTCTCATACAAAGGTACAAAAGAAAAGATCCCTGCCCTTGAAAATGGCAGTTATTATTGGGAAGTTGGCCATAAATACATGGAAAATTAAGGTTGAAATGTGGTTGTCAGAGACAGTCTTGCATGGTAGCCAATGCTCTCATCTCAAAAGCCAGTGGCTGTCACTGAGCATAGAATGAGCTTCCAAGAATATCTGGATTCCTCCATGCTTTCTCAGGGAACCAACTCCAGTGGTTGGGAACTTTGGCAGCTCATTGAGTGCCTGGGCAGAGGTTGGCTTTCCTCCATCTGCAGCTTCCGGAGGTTTTGGGACCTTGGGGATATTTCTCTAAGATTCTAGCTTCCTACCCTTAAAGGACACTTGGTAAATAAAAGGGCCCTGAAGGATGAGAGAAGATGCCAGGCCTGGCAGAGGGTTTGGCAAGTTTGAACATTGCCATAGTCCTGGTATCTGAAGAGGGAGAAAGGATTGTGTCTGAGCAGGCTAAAATTATAGAATGTCAGAGCTAAATGTAAGCTTAGAACACAATGCAGGAGAGTGACCAGGGCTTTAGAATATAGATGTTAGTCTAGAAGGGCCCTTAAAACAATGTCAGAAAGGTTTGGTGTATAAATTGTCGAGGTTGAAAAAATACCAAATGTCTGAGCTGAGAGGTATCTTGGAGTTCAGAATGTCTGAGCTGGGAGGAGACCTTAGAACAGAGAATGTCAGAGCTTCCAGAGAGCTTTGACCTCAGAATGTTGGAACTAGGAGGGACCATGAAGGAACCTTAGAAATAATCCATTCCAATCCTCTCATTGGACAGGTGGAGAAACTGAGGCCAAGAGGGGGGAAATGACTTGTGTCAAATCACTCAGTTAGCCAGTGACAGAACCAGGACTGAAAACCAGGTGTTCTGACTCCCTGGCTCCCAGAGCTCTTTACTACAGGAGGGAGGGCAGTCACAGGGTCTGCAATGCACATTTCCAAGAATCCACGCTTGCAACCTGAAAAACAACCTTATGCTAAGCCACCAATCCAAGAGCAGGCAAAATGCCATTAATTCCCTCCCTGGGGGAATTATTAATGGTAAATTTATTATTTTTTTAAATCATGGAAACCGCCTACACTCTAGTAACAATTAAAACTATGGGTTGGAGAAAAGAAAGGAAGGAGTGTTGCCTGGGAGGTTACAGCTTTCCAGGGCCCCCTTTTGAATGATCCCAGCAAAAAAAAAGTATCTATAATTAACTTCCATTGTTTCTACTCCAAACTCAATAGTGCAATTAACATTTAGAACTCTCCCTCCCCAGAGACACTCAACTAAACTCCAGTCGAAACCTGTACAACAGTTTCTGATGGGGCGATTTATGATGCCTTGGTTAGGGGAAGAATCACTGCTAATGTTTTCTTCTTAGCAGTGCGTGGGTGGTAGGGAGAGATAGGGCCTCCCTTCTGCTCTTAGAAGACTCATCAGTGGGGAATGGGACTTGTAGCCATGCAGTGGGCATGAGGGGAAATCAGTTTCTTGGGTTCATGGCCCCAGTGGGCTTTGAGAGATTTAGAGCCAACGGGCCCATTGAGCATATTTCTTAGTTCACTAGGTCTGAGTAGACAGCCCAGAGGCTGTCTAATTTAATCCACTTATCCTACGACTGAGGAAATTGAGATCCAGCATGTTAAGCCATTTGCTCAAGGTCATGCAGGTATTATGTATCAGAGGTAGGAATTTCATGTTAATGAAGCCAGAGTCTTAGGTTCTAATTCCAGAATCTTATAATTTGAAGAGTTCAGCGGTCATAATAGCTAGCATCCATAGAGTGCTTTGAGGTTTGCAAATTGCTTTATAAACATTATCTCATTTTATCCTCACAACATCCTGTAGGGAAGATGCTATTATGAACCCAGCTTTACATAATAGGAAACTGAGGCTGAGATGTTAAGTGACTTGCCCAGAGCCACTCAATTAGCTAGTGTCTGAGTCTTGATGCGAACTCAGGTTTTACTGATTCTAGGCCCTGTGCTCTATCCCCTGGGCCACCTAGCTGCCCCTAAAAGACTCATCTTCCTGAGTTCAAATCTGGCTTCAGACACTTACTAGCTGTGTGATCCTGGGCAAGGCTTCACTCTGCCTTGGTTTCCTCATCTGTAAAATGATCTGGAGATGGAAACGGCAAACCACTCCAGTGTCTTTGCTAAGAAAACCCTAAACAAGGCATGAAGAGTTGGACAGGACTGAAATGTCTAAACAACAAATCATATCTTCCCTCAGGTCGACTTTTCTCCAACCTAAACATCCCAAGTTTCTTCAGCTGCCCTTCATTTGGTATGGGCTTGAGGCCCTTCACTGTATTGATCACCCTTCTCTGGACACTTTCCAGGTTTTCATTGTCCATTATAGAACCCAATCCTTATAGTGTCTTGTGAGTGGTAGGTGCTCAATAAATGTTAACATGTTGGGCATTTACTATGTCAATTTGTATGGCTCAGTTCTCTTTGAATTTATATCTTTACCACCCTGGAACATCTGAATTTAATCCTTATTGATTGATTCCTGAGAGCAAGGTTTGGAGAGCTAAGGGGATATAGCATCTACCAGAGACATACAGTCTGACAAGCAATTATTAAGTACCTTCTAATTTCTAGGGGCAGCTAGACAGTGTGATGGATAGAATACTAGGCCTGGAATCAGGAAGACCTGAGTTCAGATCTGACCTCAGACACTCACTAGCTTGTGTGGCCCTGGGTAAGCCACTTAACCCTGTTTGCCTCAGTTTCCTCATATGTAAAATGAGCTGCAGAAGGAAATGGCCAGTATCTTTGCCATGAAAACTCCAAATGGGGTCATGATGCATCAGGCATGACTGAAATGACTGAACAACAATTTCTGGGTGCTGAGGATGAAGAGATAAAACAAAAGAAGTTCCTGCCCTCATGGAGCTTATATTCCATCATCCAACAAATGTTAGTTGAGGTCCGTGTTTGGCAAGTTGTAAGCACTTAATAAATGCTTTATCATCCATCCATCCACCATCCATCTATCTATCCATCCATCCATCCATCCACCATCCATCCATCCATCCATCCATCCACCATCCATCTATCTATCCATCCATCCATCCATCCACCATCCATCCATCCATCCACCATCCATCTATCTATCCATTCATCCATCCATCCATCCCAGCTCTAAATATATGATCCCATGCTCCTTTGAGAGTAGGTGGAGAAAGATGATGGCTTTGCAAGGCACTGGGGAATATAGGGTATTCAGCTGGAGTGAGGGAATGACAGTGAGTTGGCAGTGGCTTGGAGGGGGTCACCATATCAAACAGCAGGACCAACCATGAGATTCCTTGGGTCCAAGAGCTTTTCACAGGGAGTCACATATTTGCAGCTTCATGAGCACTTGCTACTTACTCTGCCAACTTCTTGAAGCCAATGGCTCTCCTTTTTGTGGGGGTCCCATTAGTACCTTTCCAGACATGGGTGTTCCATGGATCCGGCTGGAAAAAAAGAGGGAGACAGTCAGTAGAAAGGAAAGAAGTAGTGGAAGCCACTACTGCCCATTAGTGAGTTGACTTTGTCTAACTGAATCCCAAATCATTAAAAGCCAAGAGTTGGGAGGCACTGAAAACTGGGGATGAGATGGAAATGAGGGTAAGAATGACGTCATCTCACATCCTGGGCCATCTCCAGTTGTCCTGATTGATATCTGGCCACTGGACCCAGATGGTACTGGAGGAGAAAGTGAGGCTAGGGACTTTGAACAGCCCTCCCTCACTTAAATTCAATTCACTTGCAAGTCATGGTATCATCTTCCTGATGTCAGGGTCCTCTTCGAGAGTGAAGGCCAAACCACATAACACAACAGAGGTAGGGGGCAGGACCTGGTACTCGAAGGAAGGTGTGAGCCGATAATTGAGCATCTCCTGGTGGAAGACAGGTGTGATGCTGCCGGACATGGGTGGGACGATCCAGACCCAGTCAGCTGGACATCCCCCTCGGCAGCGGTACTCATTCTCCATGTGCTTGATGAAGGACTCAGTAGCCGAGTGGTGGTCAACAATTGTCACTTTGTCACTCTATAAGAGGAAGAGGGGAGGTGACATGTGAGTGGATCTGGGGATCATCATAAGATCACAAAAATAGAGCTAGAAGGACCCTTCAAGGCTATGGAATCCAAACCCCTCATTTTACAGATGGAGAAAAATTAAGTGACTTGCTGAGGTTCACACAGCTATTCAAGTGTCTGAGGTGGGGTTTGGACCCAGGTCTCACTGACTCTGAGATAAGCATATCATCTACAATACTATGTTGTTCAGTTGTGTCCAATTCTTTGTGACCCCATGGACCATACTGTCCATAGGATTTTCTTTGGCAAAGATACTGGAGTGATTTGCCATTTCCTTCTCCAATAGATTAAGGCAAATAGAGGTTAAGTGCCCAAGATCACATAGCTGTAAGTGTCTGAGGACAAATTTGAACTCAGGTCTCCCTGACTCCAGGACCAGTGCTTTTTCCACTGAGTCATTTAGCTGCCTGTACAGTACCATACTGCCTTGAAATATTTCCCAAGAGCAGGGAAGAACATACACCTATGACTTTCAGTACTGAAAAAACAATCCTTTCCCCAACCTGTGACTTCATTTTAAAGGCCGTGGGCTGTCCTAGTCTCTCTTAGCCATAGAAAACAGTAGGATTGGCTGATCTGGGTCCACAACTTATGCCACTCAATAATTTTCCTCTACTTGAAATAGACTAGATTTATTTCCAGAATCCTACAATCTATAAGTTGAAGGGATTTCTTAGAAGCTCCACTTTTCTTTAAGACTCAACTCAATGGCCCTGGAGTCAGGAGGACCTGAGTTCAAATCCATCCTCAGATACCTGTCACTTATTAGCTGTGACCCTGGGCAAGTCACTTAATCCCAATTGCCTTAAAAAAAGACTCAACCCAAGAATCACGTTTTACATGAAGCTTTTCCTAAACCCACCTAAGGCCAGGTCTCTCTCTCCCTATACTACCTCATAGTCATTTTGCATATATACTGTATATATTGCTTTCCCTAAATAGGATGCAAGTTTACTGGAAGATAGGGACTGTTTCATTTTTGTCCTTACCCTTCCAAAGCTTGTCACAGTGCCTGGCATAGTGTAGGAGATCAACAAATATGTGTTGACTGACCCTATCATCTACACCAGGCTGGTCCTGAAAATGTTAGCAATAGAGAATAAAAAGTCCTATGTGGGGGTTGACTTGGTCCTCACCCTATATAGGCTTGGGGGAAAAGGGTCACAAACCACACACTATTGGCCCTGGACCATTGACACAATTGCTTCAAACGCCATAGCTGGGCCTGGGCCTTTGTGTGACTGAAGCATTCGAGTACTAAAGCCAGGATCCAAGTCTATTCGGTCTCTCCCGCTTGGTTACCTGGAAACTGTAAAGCACAGCAATGTTGATCTCCACCAAGGCTTGGTCCTTCCACAGGGAGGAAGTTTTCCTCATGTCCAAATTCATCTTTTTGGCCACTTCCTGAAAGAAGATAGAAATGTACATTCAATGACTGGTTGAGGGAAGGAGCAGTATGGTATAACAGGGAAAATACAATGGATTTGGTGTTAGAGGTCTTGGGATCAAATCCTAGCTCAGCCACTTATTACCTGTGCACCCTTGAGCAAAATACATCTCCCTTCTATCCACTGGTGAAGTTCCCTCATCTAGAAAATGAGTGTTTTGGGCAAGACTGCCACTAAGGTCCTTTCCAGTTTGGAATCTGTGAATCTCTCTGGGCTTTCATTTGTGAGCCTCCATTTTCTCATCTGTGAAATGAGGAAGGGATTTTCAAGGGTCCCTTCCAGCTTTAACTTTAGTGTTCTACAGTCTGAGATGACTCCTTCTTTGGGCATCAGGCAGAAGGAGAAGATGGATAGAATCACATTGATTCAATTAGTTCCTCTCCTACAAAGAGATGTCCTTGAATTTCTGGAGTATGAAAGATTTGCCTCTCAAACGCAGTCAAGAATTAACTAATTTTTTGTTCCACTTTAAGTTCCTGTCTCCTTCCTTCCTTTCCTCCCTCCCTCCCTACTCTACACTAGAAAAGGCCACCATTTGACGTGGATTTATAAATGTGTCAAACCATACCATGCATACTTTTATTTATCGGTTCTTTCTCTGGAGGTGGATAGAATTTTTCTTTGTGGGTCCTTTGTAATTGATTTGAGTATTTATAATACTCAGAATAACTTGGGGGTTCACAAATATTCTTCAAACAATATTGTTGTTACTGTATACAACATTTTCTTTGTTCTGCTTATTTCACTTTTCATCATTTCATGCAAGTCTATCCATATTTTTCTAATGATAAGTATAATCAAAGCATAAGGTCTCACTTAAGCTAGCAAATGATTATAGTATGCAGCAAGAATGTAAAGAGGATTCTGGATAAAGTGAATTTGCCAATTCATTCTACCCTGCTAGGGCAAGGAAGGCAGCTTGGTTCCAGGTCATTTGACCAAGAAAATGGTGGACTAGACATTTATTCCAGTCCTTACTAACTCAAAAAAAAAAAACCACAAACAAAACCAAATGCAAACAAACCCCCAAAGAGTAATTATCCACTGGAGGTAGAAAGCTTGCAGTACAATCCACAGCCCAAGAACACAAGAGAGCAGAACTAGGAGGATGAATTACACCATAATGACAACAGAATAAAGAAAAAATGACTTCAAAAGACTTATGAATTCTGATCAATGCAATGGTCCGCCATGACTCCAGATGAAGCAGGCTACCTATCTCATGACAGAGAAAGGATGGATGAGCTATGCAGAAAGACACATGCTTTTTTGGAGATAGCCAATGTGGGAATTTGGTTTGGTTGATGAGGCATATTTGTTATGAGGGTTTTGTTTTTGTTTTGTTCAATGAGACAGAAGGAAGAAAAAACAAATTTCTGTTAGTTGAAAGAAAGTTTAATTTAAAAAAGACTTAAGTACCCTGATCAATGAAATAATTAATCATGATTCCAGAGGACTGAGAGTAAAGTATGGTAACTACCTCCTGACAGTGAGGGGATAAGGATGCAGGGGGCAGAATGATCTATCTATCTATATCTATCTATCTATCTATCTATCTATCTATCTATCTATCTATCTATTCCTTAACTCTTATCTATCTATCTATCTATCTATCTATCTATCTATCTATCTATCTATCTATTCCTTAACTCTTATCTATCTATCTATCTATCTCTATCTATCTATCTATCTATCTATCTATCTATCTATCTATCTATCTATCTATCCTTAACTCTTATCTATCTATCTATCTATCTATCTATCTATCTATCTATCTATCTGTCTGTCTGTCTGTCTATCTATCTATCTGTCTGTCTATCTATCTATCTGTCTATCTATCTATCTCTCACACTCATATATTGGGCATGGCCCATGTGGAGTTTGTTTTTCTTGATTATTCATATTTGTTATGAGGCAATGAGGTGGGACAGTGGATGGAGAGCTGAACCTGGAGCCAGGAATCTAGCCTTGGATACTTACTAGTTGTGTGTGACCCTGGGCAAGTCATTTCAATTCTGTTTGCCTCAATTTCCTCATCTGTAAAATAGGGATAATAATAACACCTAGCTCCCAGGGTTGTTTTAACCCTGGGCAAGTCATTTAACCTGTCTGTTTCAGTTTTATCATGGGTAAAATAAAGGTAATAATTTACTTCCAAGGGTTGTTGTGAGGATCAAGTGGAGTAATATTTGTAAAGTTCTCTGCAAATGTTAAAATGCTAGGTAAATGCTAGTGATTCTTTTTTTTTATTGTTGAATGAGGTGAGAGAAGTGAGAGGGAGAAAAAAAAAGAATGCTTGTTAATTGGAAAAAATAAAATTATTTTTATTTTTATTTTTTATTTTTAGGTGATTGGGGTTAAGTGACTTGCCCAGAGTCACACAGCTAGTAAGTGTCAAGTGTTTGGTCTGAGGTCGGATTTGAGCTCAGGTCCCCCTAATTTCAGGGCTGGCGCTCTATCCAGTGCGCCACCTAGCTGCCCCCGGAAAAAATAAAATTAAAAAAAAAAGAAAACACTCTCATTTGGCATTCCTTCTTGACCAGCCCCCATACTCCATCAGGCACACAAACCAGCCCATTGATTTGTGCTTGAGATCTACTCAGAGATTTCCCTCTTGCTATACGGACTCTGCCAGAGCAGCCCTGGTTCCTGCCTGTCCCCTACCCCATTAGTTTCCATTATGGTACTGCTCAGATGCCACCTGTGATTCAAAGACTTCTCTGATCCCACCTACTATTTGGTGTTCTTTTCTCTCCTAAAATTATCTTGTAATTACTTATTTTGAATACATGTTATCTGCATATGTCTCTGTAGATCTGGAAGGGACCCTAGCAACCATCTATTCCAACTCAAGTAATTTTACAGAAGAGAAAACAGAGGCACTAGGAGGTTAAATGGCTTGGCTAAGGTCACACAAGCACTCCATGGCAGAGCTGAGATCTAAATCCAGGTGCTCGATCACTATGCTCGGTAAAGTGGTGCTCATCCAGTGTTACAGTAGCATTCGTCCAGCATTCTTGCCACTATACCCTGCTATGTCCTTCCAGGAGGATGTGGATTCTTTGAAGGGAGGGACGGACTCATCACTTTTGTCTTTGTATCTTCAGTGTCGACCATGATGTCTTGTACTTTTTGGGGGAAGTCTGGATCTGTGATTTCATCTGCAGCTCTGACTCTCTTTGCCAAAGTAGATTAGCAACTGTTCTGTAACTTATACCCTGAGAGTTGTCTGGGGCATTGAGAAGTGAAGTGATTTGCCCAGCGTCATGAGGCCAGGATGAATCAGAAATGGGACTGGAACCTAGGTCTTATTGAGATTGGTCCTCTATGTACTACGGCATGCTGTCTCCCTGCTCCAACCTTCACTCAGCTATCAAAATGATTTTCCTAAAGTACAGGTCTACTCATGTCACTCCCCTATTTAATAAGCTCCAATTGCTCCCTATTGCCTCCAGGATCAAATACAAAATTGTGTTTGGCTTTGAAAGCCCTTTATAACCTCGTCACTTCCTACCTTTCCAGTCTTCTTGCCCCATACTCCCTGACATGCCCTTTTTGAGCTGGTGACACTGGCCTCCTGGCTATTCCATACACAAGCCATCTTTTGCCTCCAGGCATTTCCTCTGGCTGTCCCCTATTCCTGGAATGCTCTCTCTCCTCAACTCCATTCACAGGCTTCCCTGGCTTCCTTCCAGTCCCAGCAAAAATCCTACCTTTTACAGAAGCCTCGCCTAGCTCCTCTTAATTCTAGTACCTTCTCTCT